GAGTGCTGCAACTCGTGATATAAATGAATGTCTTAATGATCCAAAGTTCTTGAAATCAGTGTTGAGTTTCCATTTCTCCTTCACACATGATCTTCCAGGTCTTGGTGATTGCCTTTCTGCAGCCTTTTGCTCTTCTTCCAGAATGAGTCTCCCAAGTGACCTCTCACCTTCTTCAAAGTCCATGAAGGTCAACTTGTCAGGAACTTGCTGTGGCTGTTTCCCTGTCAATTCACTGAGGTTATGCAAGAGCTTCTGCTGAAGTTCAAGAATCTCACAGCAACTTGCTTGATTCATGAGTTGTTTCACCTCCTCCAGCTTGTGCTCTGTCTGTGTCACCTCTTTCCTGTTATTGGCTTGAGCAGCTTCAAATGCTGTGACTCTTTCTTGATAAATTCTTTCAGTCTCTTTTAACAGTTTGTGCTCTTCTTGTCGGGTCTTGGCAACCTCTTGGTCAGCTTTTTCTGAGATTTTCTTCTTGGTGGTTGCAAACATGATGTCAAGTTTCTTGCGAGATATGCAAGTCTTCTCTAAGGTAGTGTTCAGTTCTATTTTGCTTTTACCAACTTTTGCAACAAGTTCTTCTACCTTTTTCTTACATTTCTCAAAAGCCTCAGGTAAGCCAATACAAGAGTGTTTTAGTTTTTCATGATCTAGAACAGTACACATGAGACATATGACTTGCTCACATGTATTGCAGTAGACATTGAGATTCTGATCTGGATGCTTGCCACATTTTGGAATTTCTTCTCTGAGTTTACTCTTGTAGACAATCTCTCCTGATCGAAGTTGAGCCAGTGTATAGATTTTGTGCGAATTGATGACAGTCATACGTTCATGAGCCTTTTGACATTCTTGACACAGGAAATGATCGCAATCCATGCATCTTGAAATTGCCTGATTCTCCTCTTTACAGTTTTGACATTTGATCTCTGACCCTTGACCTTCCAGTAGCTTTTCCTGCATTGTAACTTCCTCCACCAGGGCACTGAATGCACAATTATTAGGGAGATCAGCAACCCCAGACCCTTTCAACATGGTTTCATGTCTGCACAGAGGACATGTCAGCTTTGTACCACTAGGATCTTGGCTCTGTCTGAGCTCTTGGAGGCATTGCAGGCAAAAAGTATGCAAACAGTCCAGCAGTTTGGGCTGCCTGAAACGGTTGGTGCAGATGGAGCATTCCAGATGATCCACACTAATCTTCTCCAACACTGATTGGGCTGTAACATTAGATGCCATCTTCACTGTTGGGCTTAGTGCGATAGGATGGACCTTTAACCTGAAAATGAAGCACATTAAGTAAAAGGTTTTGGAATTACATGTATTTCAACTTCAAATGATAATTTGGTGGAAATAAGTTAGATACATAGCCTATAGTTGAAAACTTTTTGTTAAGTAGAGTGTTCATAAAATTGAAGGTTTATTCACATACTATATGCTTGATTCAAACCTGATGTTAGGTTTTTTTCCAAAAGAAAATAACAATAAGTTACAACAAATGTGTAATAGGGTTGCCTTGTTCATATAAGAGCACATTTTGTCCTGAAAAATGCAATATTAAAGAATTATTTTCAGCTGTTACAGGACATTTTCTACGTCTCAAGTATGTTGTAATAAAGTTCACAAGTCAAACAAAAGTAGGTCTCAGTAATAAAGTTTTCAATGACAAACAAATGCCGACGGTCGCGCGAAATTTTTAAAAAGGGCACTCGTAAATGGCTGCTGGTAACCAAAAAGGCACTGATTTAAAAAAAAAGGGCCTTGTTTACAAAAAAGGGCCCCTTTACACAAATGGGGAGGGTGGCGGGGGGGGGGGGGTTACAATGATGTAAAAGGGCACTGTTTAATACTCAGTTGGGGCTCGAACCCAGTACCTCCTGTTTAGTGCAGTCGTCTTATCACTCAACCTCTGAGCTTGCCTGGGTCAGCTGGGTGGTTTGAGTCGAGGTGAGCAGGAGTCTGCAACTAAATATTGTCTGCACCGAAGAAAAAAACATATTTCAAGTACTTTTACTGGCTCATATTGCAAATCGTAGACTCAAAGTCCACTTTCCTTTAACCCTGAAAGGGCCGGGTTATATTGACCATCTCTCAGCTCTGCCATCGAGTGACGAAAAATTTTGAAACTCAGTACATGCATAGAACAACTCTTCCTAAACATACCCAAGAAATTTCATGACTATAGGTCAAAGGGTTTTAGAATTATGGCTAATTAATTATTCATATGTACGAATGGCAATTCTGCTCTGTGTACATCATGTATATGGGAAAATTCAGTTTTCATGGCGCATAGCGCCGGACAATTTTTCGCAACGCGGCAGCCTGTGGTCCGATTTTTATGTTTTTGGTATCAAAAGATGCGCAAAGCTTGGGCTTTAAAGTCATAACAGCTCGGGTCCTGAAAACAATTTTTTTAGAGGCTATCGCTGAAAATGTTGAGGGATTCCCCCCCAGCCCTTTTAGGGTGAAGAAATTTCATTAAAAAAAACATTTACCTTCACATTGGTTTTATTTTTTGTTGTTTTATTATTATTTTGTGATTCACTAAGCTACGTCTGTGCCGAATCTTCTTAAAGGTCCAACACTTGTGTGTAAGACTACATGTAAATGTACACAAACAATACATCACTTATTTCTGTCATGAATTCAAGGAGATTCATGTATTCCACATGTCTGTATTTTAACAGGTTTGGCGGATCCACCTGAATTTCCAGTAAATACGTATACACTTGTAATTGGCAAATACTGAGTTATTACGTACATGTACTTCATATGAGATAATGTGATGCTGGTGATTTATATCAGATGTATAGACAGACTTACAGGTAGACCCACAAAATCTTACCTTCAGGTACACATGAAATGAGCCACTGCTATCTGCCCATTCTGATGTCACTTACGGCAATGGTTGAAATGAACAAAGATGGCGTTCTATGTATACGCCCCTCTGTATCCACACCATGTCACATGATTTTGAGTCATTTGCAGTCCCCAGATTCCACTTCTGTAGCACTTTGGTACGTGCTCATAGTAAAATCAATACAGTGTTTTATATCAAATGGATCCAAAGGTTCTGGGCTGGTAATATTTGCAGTACCAGTACTCAAATTCCGATAACGTAGCACTTTGGTACGTGCTCACAGTAAAATCAAATGCAGTGTTTTATATCAAATGGATCCAAAGGTGTTGGGCTGGTAATATTTGCAGTCCCCAGATTCCACTTATGTAGAGCTTTGGTACGTGCTCATAGTGAAATCAAATACAGCATGCTGACTGTGTTTTATATCTAATGGATCCAAGAGTCCAGAGCTTGTAATTAGCCAGATTATGGACACGTTTATCAGAAAGGTAAACATAAAGAAGCCACAGGGTCAATTACCTGATGCAGTTATTCTAAGCTGACTCTTATTGCAGATGACACCTGTTTTAATATCCTTTGATTTGTTGCTAGTCATGATACTCCAGTCTGTTGTGTAGACAAAAATAAACAAATAAAAAAGGTGTATAATGAACCGACAGTAATTAATTTTGGAATCTAGTTTTGTTTTGTTGTGTTTTTTTTTCCACTTTTCTTTATATTTATCTACATTTTAGTTACTGTTGGTGTTTTACAATTTACATGCATACAGCCTGTCTCAAAAAAAAGGTACAATCGGAAAAAAAATTGGTTAAATATTAAATTTCAAAATAAGTCATTCTTACTTGGCATAATATTAAAGAAAAAAGACTGGGCTTTCCAATAGTATTTGTTTGATCTTATTTGCTTTTGTCAATTCAGAGATATAATCAATTTAGTGCGATACACCAAAATCAATTTTGCACCACTTTTACGCATGGGCAGAGTTGTTTCGAGTACTGTGCCATGCTGTCTTGAAGCTCACAAAAGATTGCAACCAGAAAGTGGCACAAACTCGATTTTTGTGTTCCGCAGTAATTGGAGATATCTCTGAATTGACAAAAGCAAATGAGATGAAACAAAAAGTATTGGAAAGCCTGGTCTTTTTTCTTAAATGTGATGCTCAAAACGACTTACTAATATGTTGAGATTTAATATTAAAAAAAAATTGTTTTCAGTTGTACCATTTTTTTTAATAGACAGGCTGTATATAGCATTCAACAACACTACGATTGCATACTTAATTTAAATTACATTCACCATTTAACTATAAACTTGTTATTTCTTTCAGTTTTTCAGTATCAGCAGTGCTTTGTTACAAAATTTCCAAAAACTCGCATTTCTAAAGCTTTCTCTTCTATTGCATCCAGTTCAGTTCATTCAGCACTTATTTTGAATATTCATTCATGTTTGTGCCTTCCGTAGGCTGATTGGTCCATTGCTGAGATGAGATGAATGCTGAGATGGGGGAGAGCCACGCCCACCTCTACACATCATAGACTGATTAACAGGTAACACAACATCAATATGTGATGTCAGTCTATTTGAAATCTGTACGGGTGCTCAAAAAGGGCAAGCATAAGAGTCATAAGGGTGTTCCTGTCATTGAGGCTTTTTTTTTTTGCTTGAAGCAACAAAAGTGCTCAAAATCTGAAGATGTATTTTTAACAATTAACCTGAAAACATTTTAGCTTAGTAAGTGTACATTCCAAAAAAACAATATACTGGGATCTTGATTTTGCAGAGTCATGTTTCGAATTGCGCCCAAAATCTGCATCTGGGGCATGTTTTCATTCAACTGATTGCACTGAACAGAGAAATAGTAGCTAGCAACCCCCTGTGCTTGTGCATCATGTCAATGCTTGCACACACCTGTTCACCGATTCTTCAAATAATACAAAAATGGGTCAAGAATGGCCCATGCAAATTACAAGCCAAATAGATAATTCATACATTTAAGAGGAGTAGAGAGTTGCACAAAATGTGTTCATAAACAAATTTCATCCCAAGGCTCTTTCAAGAATTGCCACAAGTTGTTTGTGTAGTATGATGTTTTGATTACAGATGTTGAGATTATGTATGGTTTTCTTTCTTAACATTTCAGGAAGCCATGGCCAGGATGCAACATATGTGCTTTGCCTTGGAGCTGTCAAGCATTGAAGGAACCATATGCAGCTACAGAACTCACTCAGGTAATGGGCCAATCTCATAGCCTAGACTTGAATCAAGTCGGTAATTGGCCGGGTTTAAGTCCGCCTGCACCATGGCATACCGTTCTGTACCAGCGGTGTTGACTACCTCATAACGTCCCGGTGTTGACTACCACATAACGTCCTGGGGTTATGTGAAGTGCATGGTATAATAACACACAGGAACGATTCCTGCATCCTTGACCTCCTATGTGTGTACGTTGATTCCAATTACCAACTGGAATAATCTGCAACCCCATTGTACACACGGCATGGACGTGCTACCAAAATTGGATGGAGCACTCTGATTGGCTATGAATCAGGACGATTAATATTCATATTCACCTGACATTTATGCATCTGGGTGCACATGTGACCCTCCCATGGATGTCATATTTCACTGACATGCATGAACTTATGTGGGGAATGCAGCACTAATTCCTGGGTCGTTTGGAATCCGTGCAACATTATTTAAAAAAAACACCAAGAATTGGACACTTCCTCAGCAATGCAGCAATACAATTTTGGAATTCTGGATCTATTGGCTCTAACGACCATGAAAACTTCTCCAATGCATTGTCAACGAAAAAATGCAAAGCTGAAAATATAATTCATAACATATTACATGTTATTATTTTAGGCCTGGCAAATGGACTGATGATTGCAGTGATCTCGTAATCCTCGTTTGAGTCTCCCCACCCCAAGCTGGAGGCGTTGATCTGGAGAAGTGGAATTAGTTGACCTGGCTTGACCCCCTGCATGGGGTGCTGCCATCTTGAAATCGTTGTGTGCCAAGGAAAAGGATGTAAGCAGCCCAGGCCTACAGAAAAAAAACACAGAACCTTTGGAGATAATCGAGTTGAAGGGTTTTGTGCTCTCATTTCTGAATGGAAAATCACATCATGCTGAAATTTGGGCCCATTGAAGTCGTTAATAATTAAAATCATATTGTGCATTTATATTTCAAAATATTACTTAATTTTGAAGTTATTTATATTGTTCTGCTTACCACCTGTTACCAGGAACTCCATCTGCCTTAAACGTGAACTCGCCCTGCATTAAACTTGCACTTCAGCGTCATGTTAAAGGGAAAATACAACATTTGCAAACATCAAAAAATAAAACTACCAAATCATTTTGAAATACCTTGCTGGACTGTTAGTGAATGACAGTGTAAAGCATCCTGTAAAATCATATGCACCTGGTATACTGTCATTTTCAAGAAAAGTGGTATTTTTGTATTGATTTCCAACGCTGATCGGCCGACCAGCGTTGGAAAAAAATGGCTTTTTTCAAATACTGGCCCAGTTGACCATCGCACTTGTTTGCAATCGATTAAACACCTATGAACGGGTACAAGCCAGCTAGAATGGTTCCCTGACCTTACAATTCCCCAATGTATGTAAACTGCTCTGTTTCTTCTTAAATGGAGTCTGGGAACCAGACTACAGGAAAATGATTGTTTTTCTCCCTTGTTTTAATGTGGATACTTTTACATTTTTTCCCTATATGATTCCTTTCTGTAAAAATTGCATTTTTTTTTTTCTATATTAAGGGGGAAGGTGTACGTTGATTTAGTTCTAGTGCATTTTTCATGTTTTGTTAAAATTAATGGGTTGTGTCTTTATTAAGCTTTTTTGCTTACTATTTTTGTTTTTGACATTTTAATTCTTTGTATTGATATGTTCACGCCTTGTTACGTTACAATTACAATTTTGTTGCTTAATTAATTATTATAATAATGATTTATTTTTTAATTTTGTAAAGCGCATTTAGTGTCTTTTTAGGCGGATTTTGGCGTTGATAAATGCTCAATATTTATTTTTGTTAAAGTGCTTTTTAAGCCATTCTGGATAAAGAACATGTTGGTATTATAGGGCTAAATGTTCACGATCATCGTTTACCTTTCTCAAGAAATATCTGAAAATGTCAATGAAATATCAAGAAGATTTGGCTCTTAGGCTTAATTCTAGTCGTCATAAGTTTATTATAAACTTGGTTTGTCTATGGCTACAATGCAGCTGCTATACCAGAAATAGCTCCAATGCTTGCTGGATGTGAATGAGGTCAAAGGTGATCTTTAAAAAGCACAAAATGTGACATTTTTTTATAGAACACAAACAGGGATCGACCACAGAAAAAGGTGACACGCCTAGATGTAATTTTTGCATGTGTATCTGTGTCTATTGTCCTTTGATGTTTCTATTTGCTAAATAACTTTTGTTTTTTGTTTTGAATTTCGTTTACTTATTAATGCTATGCCTTAACGTTTTCTGTTGATATGTTTCCAGTTTTATTGGGTATATATTGGTATATTAATTGTTTTCTATTTTTTTCCCATTAGCTCTTAACTGTTTGTTTGAGGTTGTTTGTTTTTTTGCTTTATTTTGTTAATTATGTTTGTTTATCTGTTCTTTGTTGTGATATGCAAAGATGAATTGGAATAAACAGAGTCTTTGAACTCCACCTCAGAGAAAAAAAGAAACGAAAAACCTTGCCTGACTAGATGTCTAATAGTGTTAAAAGAAGCCAAACATATCTATAGAAACAATTGTTTTGTTTCTCTGTGGAATATGTCAGCATTATTATGTTAAATTGAGCCTTCTTAAAAATGAAATTTAAAAAAAAATCATCCAATTAACTTTTAATCAGTTCACAATGTTTGTTTTGTTCCATGATCTTTGTTATTATTAAATATTCACTTCAAAATTCATTCTACACAATAGATAGAGAGCACTGCTTTTTTGTTGTCCACCTCATAAGATCGTTAGAGGGCGCTATATCCGAAACCAAAATCAAATCAAGAGAATGGGGGCGTTGTGTACACTGGTTGTTGCCTGTAATTTGAAATTACTTAATATGCACGTGGCGCGCGCTTTAGATCAACAAAATTATGCCGAAGTGCTCAACAGGGGGCGCTCTTAAATTGAGTCGACGTCTTAGGCGACGTACAAAAGTACAAATGCAAGTCGTGTAAAAATTTCGATCAACAATAAACAAATAATCAGAAATAGAACTCGTGAGAAATAGTCAGAATATTTTGGCCTGGGAACCAGACTACCATGATGTAGACCTACGTGCAAACACGCCGCTGTACTCTGGCCGGGACTTCTTGCACCGTTCGCCCACACAATCTGGCCTTTTTTCTGTACCTTCGTCGCGCCGAGGATATATTTACTTTGTGCTTCAAACTTCTACTTCTCTGCAGCTAGCTACATGTTTATATCCCTTTCAGCAACTTACTGAGTGCTGGGTGAGTCTTCTGCACCAGCTTGGCGAGTGGAAATTGTTGTGTCTTGTGAGCTACATTTTACAAAAACTAGTCTCGAAAGGATTAACTCCGGGTAAAGAGTGGCCTCACCACCGACCACCGAATCAGCACGGCTTCCTCCCGGGACAGCAGGCCCAGCGGAGTCTGCATGACGAACCTGCTGAGACCGCACTTCAATTCAGCAAATCAAGTGATGCACGGGAAAACCAATGAACTGAGTTTTGACTGGTCACTTAGATCTGGAACTTAGTTGCCCCATGAGTTGCTTGGCACGGGTTCATTTCATCATGAACTTGAATTTAAATGAACTGCAAAGATCGAGTTTAGACTTTTGTGACAATTTGGAGGTTTGCTGCTTGACTTGAGAAAAATCTGCATGCAGTCTACATGTAAATGAAATTATAGGTGAGTGAAACCTTGTTTATTTAATACTCTAAACCAACAAGTTATGGGCAATTCCACAGAAATATAAACCCTGATACTGAAATTTAACTGATACAAAGGCCCACTAGTGTGGCCGCGGCTGGCTGTTTCTTGTACAATCTTTCATTCTCAACTGAATTCAGTGTACAAGAAACAACTGTTGAATCACAACTTGCGCTCCCGAGTGACAAGATTGATTTGCATATATGCGACGTCACAGCTTTTGGGTCATTGCTTCTTAACATTAAAAATGGCTGCCATCAACAGACAATTTTTGGGTGCATGTGGGTTTCAGAAAGATGCTTTAATTTCTCAAAAAATTTGGTATAAGGACAACTAAACAACCCGGAGGAAAGAAGCTGAGACATCACAGAAAACAACTGTCAGTAAAAGATTTGTGATTTTTTTTCCGTACAAACTCCTCAATAGTTTGGAACTTGGCGTGTGGCCATGAGGAACAGCGCAGCAATACCGGGGCCACACTACCGGGGCTATCTGATGTCATGTGTCAAGAGGCCTAAACTTTAAAAGAGTGTGCGGGAACCACAAAATGTCAACTCATATGCAAGTTAACTCATACACAGATTAGTCAACTCATACGCATGCAAACTCATACGTGAAATAAGCCAAGTTATATAAATTGTACAATACCGTTTCCAGAATTGGATGGAGATGAGAATCGTCGACCACAACTAATTTTATCGGCACTTACTTTTCAGGTAAATAAATTTCTGGAATTCCAAAAGAGAACAGAATCTGTTTGTTCAAATTTCTGGAATTCCTAAAGAGAACAGAATCTGTTTCTTCCCAGAGTGCAGGAGAATGCGATACACAATCCCGCACACCATGCGTAGGCTGAATGACCACCGAGTATGAGTTGGGCAAAAAAAACACTGACTAGCATGGAGAATTTGTCCAGACATACAATGATTTGATTTACACATAGTGCAGTGCACTGTATTTAGCAGTGTATTGTTGCGTTCCCGCAAATTGCGTAGTTTACTTCTTTCCCAACCAATCCATTCCACTCCGTGCACAGCGTAATGCTTGCAGCGATCCTGTGTGCCCTCACACAGCGCGAAGCTTACCACGAAGTCTAAGACACACGTAGAAGTGTGCAGCACATTGTACAGTACCCTATTGTATAGCGCGCAATGCGTGTAGCACTCACTGCTATTGAACATGTACCGCCATGGGACACGTACTTAGGACTTAGCCATTTTCCCTCCACCTTTCCCCGGAGTCGATGCGAATTCCCCTCACACACCTTACCTCGCATCCGACCCACATTGACCCCAAGCATTTAGCGAATGTGGCTCGCTAAAACCTACCCGTGTATTCACCCCTCAGTGACCCCGTACACCCCAGCGAGTGTGTCCCGCTAACCCACTGGCCGAGACCTACGGTAGCTAGAGGTCAGGTTACGTCCTTCATCTCATAGTTTTACTCGATAGCATTAGTGTGTAGATTCTTACCTAGTCTAGAGACTAAGTCTTGTACACAAGCCTATGTACCGAGAAGTTATTCCCTTTCCCTTTTCCTTGAGGATCAGTTCCCCGTAACGCACCCACGAGTGATCCTACTTCGCCCGCTAACCACTGCTCTCGGACTTTCCCCCACTAGAATGTCTAAGTCAGTCGTGTACAAATCTCCCATAGAGAACTTTCCCCATGCCTTTGTACACGGATGCATTATTCATAACTACCAGAATCCAATGCTCCCATTGGCTAAGACGCGCACCCAAAAGTGTATATAAAGCGCGCAGAAATGGCAGTTCTGGTCATTGTTGTACTGGGCTCTTCCCCAGTAGATTCCTGCGCTGAGCTCTGACCTACACAGAGCTCCCGCACATATGATGCATTAGATTATTGATCTGGGCTCTGACCCCGACAGAGTTCCTGACATGTACACATGTACGCCTTAACTCTACATTGTATATAGTGCGCCCTCTATTGACCTGGGATGTAAATAATCTCGAATAAAGTACTAGTGTGTGTGTAAGATATTTGTATCTGACTCTTTATTTGATAATGTCTCTCACCCCAGAGAGACGTTACAGTATGTTAAAGTCTACAAATGCAGCGGACTGTTTTTGATACACAATTTAAATACTCACTACGGGTGGCATTGTCTTGTCGTATAGCACACGGTATAGCACTACTACGCTAGTCTATGCTCATGAGTTGGCCCGTGTAGGAATTGGACTGTGAACGAGTTGGTCTGCGTACGAGGTGTCCTGCGTACAAGTTTGTCACGAACGAGTTGTCCTGTATCCGTTTCATGTTATAGCTCCATGGTTGTATATGCCCCGAGGTCAGTCATGGTGGCAAGTGAAAAAAATGACTTATTGAGTAGCCGCGCACACCCTGACGACTGTTTATTTTTCTGATAAATCTTCTTTCTTTATTTCTTTT